TCAGGCAATCCACTCACCTCAGCCTCCCAAAGGCGTGGGATTACAGGCTGAGCCACCGAGCCCGGCTTTTTTTTTTTCTTTTTAAAGTCAAAGTCTCACTCTGCTGCCCAGGCTGGAGCGCAGGGGCACGCTCACGGCCACCCCAGCGTTGACCTGCTAGGCTCAGGCGATCCTTCCGCCACAGCCTTCCAAGTACCTGGAACCACAGGCATGTGCCACCACACCCAGCTAATTTTTGTTTATTAGAGACAAGGTCTTGCTTTGCTGTCCAGGCTGGTCTTGAACTCCTAGGCTCAGGCAATCCTATCACCTCCACTGTGCCTGGTCAAACATTCTTTTTAATGGTGGAGAATACGGTATTGTAACCCAGGCCACATCCTGCTCATCACAGTTGTGTCACTGATACGCAGGCATAGGTGCAGCTTCTTACCCTGCAAAGCTCCATTCCAACTCTAAGGAGCCCCCCAGCCTGAAGCCACCAAGAGCTCACCAAGGGAGGCCAGTGGGTGCCAAGGACAAGAGAAGCAGGCCACTCTCCAGGCTGGCCAGGGCCTCCAAGGGGCCACATCCAAGTGAAAAGAGACAGCCAGAAGCTAGTCTCGCGAGGGCGAATGAGAAAGGCTATGGCAGAAAGAAACCGCGCCAGGCGGCCACGAGTGCCAGAAAGCCTGACTTTTCGGGGACCAGCTGCCAGTGCGGCCGAATCCCATGGACAAGGGCCCTGCAGGCCAGAGTGAAGTGTGGATTCCACCTGGAGGTCAATGGCAAGGCAGCCAGAGGAGCTCAGCGTGGAGGGGACACGACCCACCCTACCATCTTGGGCCGTTGAAAGCGCAGGAGGAGACGCCAGGAGACGTGCAGAGCAGCCACCAAGGGCGGGGCGGGCTGGAGGCCAGGCTGGGCTGCACTCGAAGGACGACACCCCTTGTCACCAGGCGTGTGCCCTGTGATCAACAATGCTGCAAGCATCTCCGCCTGCGAATCTGGGGTTCCTGCTCCCATCTCTAGGTGAGATTCCTAGGTGTGGAGTCACCAGGGCAATGCTAAGAATGAAAGCCTTTTGGTCATCCATGAAGACAGAACCAACTCATGCCAACTTACACACCGACAGTGTGTCCGTGCCAACACACAAGTTGCAAGGATGGATAAGAAATTTTCTTTGCTATTTGACAGACCAAAAAACCACCTTTCTGCACTTTTACTGTCGGTGAGGCTAAGATTGCCAGATTCACCTCCTCCCCATGTTTATTGGTCATCTGTATTTACTGTGATAAATTTGTTTGTTTTCAGCTCTTTGAATTTCTAACGTTTTCCTAGTTGATTCTGGATAACTTTTTAAGTACTAAGGGTATGAACAAAGTCAAATTTAAAGTGACTGTCTTTCAAATATGCTTAATTTTCATTTATTTTTTAAACTCACTGGAATTCCTTCTGCCATAAGGTACAGACGTAACTTCACTTTTTTCCCAAATAACTACCGAACTGCTGCAGCTCCAGGTATCCAGTAAGATGTCCCCTGCTGTCCTGCCCTGGACCCCCATGTTCAAGACTCAAGCCTGGGTCTACCTGTTCTGTTTCACTGATGTGACCTCACATCACAGTCTCCTTGTCTTTTCTCCAGAACAATGTCCCCAGCTATTTTTTTTACCTCTTCATTTCTAAGACACTATTTACTTTTCGTTTTAAAACTCATTGGTAGCTGGGCTCGGTGGCTCAGCCTGTAATCCTGTACTTTGGGAGGCCAAGGTGAGTGAATTGCCTGAGCCCGCAGGTTCGTGACCCGCCTGGGCAACTTGGCGAGACCTCATCTCTACAATAAATCAAAAAATTAGCCCGAGCATGGTAGTGTGTGCCTGTAGTTCCAGCTACTTGGAAGGCTGAAGTGGAAGGATCGCCAGAGCTC